TTTGAAGTAGGACAAAAGGCGACACGGGTACCCGTGTCACACGACACGACCCGTGTCATTTCAGCTGGGCTAATTGTTGGAAAAGAGAAAGATCACAGAAGGTGATACGGGCCCCCGTGTCACACGACACGACTCGTGTCAAGTCAGCTGAAATGTATGATTTGGAGGAAGATTCACAGAAGCTAACAAGGGTTCCTGTGTCCACTGACACGGCCCGTGTCAGCTCAGGCGCTGAAAATTCTTAAGTTTTGGATTTTTTAGTGTTTTTGAACCCTGGAGGCTACTTTGGACTTTTGGCATCACCTAGGAAAAACGAGACTACTTAAACCTATTTTGTAGAGGAAAAAAAGGGGACTTTTAACGGAAGAATAATTTCACATAGAAGATTAAAGTCTATGCAAGTTTTGGGAGAACGAAGACCTTTCATGAGCGGAAGCAATTGAAGATCAGAGTTCACCATCAATTTGTGTAATGCCTATATTTATTTTTATTGAAATTTCATCGAACATTATGTGCGGCTAAACCTCCTAATGCTAGGGGGTGTCCCTGATTTGCAATGTTAAGAATACTGATCTCTTTGTTTTATTCAACATAAAATTTTTATGTATCAATTTGATTATTTAGAAGAATTTATAGTTTTACCCTATGGGACCATATGGTTTCAATGTTTTTAACACATTAGAGTCGGACGGTCATGCTAAGGTTTTCTAAATACTTATATTATAGATGATTTCACCTAGGACTAGGGGAATCCTATGATAACTAGAATAGTTCTTGATAATTACATGCTTAACCTCAAAACTAATTTGAATGGAAATTGAAATTAGGGTATAAGTTAAAGGTTTTTCACTAAGGACTTAGGGAAAGATAATCTTAAGAATCGGTAATTGAGATTGATGAACTTGTTTAAAAGATCAAAGAGTGAAGGTTATTTCATGGCAAATAATACACTCAACTCTAGAAGCTTTTAACCAAACAGAAAAGTCAATTTTACTTTCAGCCCTTTAATCTTTCGCAAAGATATTTTTGAATCAAACCCTAAACTATTGTTTTTGTTTGATTGAATCAATAATAAACTTAGTATTTCCTACGCAGTCCTCGAGATCGATATTCGGGGTAAAACCCATTATTACTACATTTGTGAAAATAATACACTTGCCATTTTTTCCAATCATTAAGCCGCTTCGCAATTTCTTTTTTAAATATCCCTTTCTTTTGAGAGATCACCCATGGCCAAAACATCACCCTGGCCACAAGCATCTAGGGAGAATAAAGAAGAGATCCAGTAAGTATAAAAAGTGGCTTATGAGAAAATCCTCATCTTCTTTGCTTTAGGAATATTTCGAAGATAAGGAATATCCTCTTCATACATCTCAACAAGTGCCTCCTAAGGAGTTTATGGAATTCAAGAAGGAAAAATAGTTGGTAGCTTGAGAAGAAAAGTGGATGAAGCGGAAGCGGAGCCCCCAGTCCGCCATGTCTGTTTAGCTAAATATTATCCAAGGGAGGACTTTGATCTTGGTCTTGGTCTATCTTGGTATTAGTAGGATGTGAATCATCCCGACCCTCAGCAATTGCAGCAGCAACCTTGAAAGAAGGTTGGCCAGGGCCAAGAGAGACCTAGGAAACCTTGACAGTGGCATGTATGCTAGAATGTATGATATTAGAAGTGGTTTCCTGAGACGAAGAAGCGACATTGACAACTTGAGCCTCTTGCTCTTTATCAATATCATAGACCTTCCTTAAATAAATTATTTTAAAATCTATTTTATCTTTAATTATCAATTACCCATGTAAAAAACTACAAATAGATGACTTTATCCTCTTAAAAAATATCCTTTATCTCCATACTATTGGCCGCGTCCATGATATAATGGGTATTAATCAACCATTTCCTCTGCAGATAAGGCTTCACCTTATTAGGGTCAAACCCCTCCTCAAAGTCGAGATTCCAATAAAAAGTGTCCATGTCTTTATTTAACATAATTTTGTCAGGAGTGAGGGAATACAGATGGACGATATACGTATGAGGTTTGCATTTGAATTGGACCTAAGTCCAAGGTAGCTTGAGGAGAAAAGTCGATGAAGCGGAAGTGGCACTCCCAGACTGTCATGTCTGTTTAGCTAAATATTATCCAAGGTAGGACTTTGATCTTGGTCTTGGTCCCTCTTGGTATTAGTAGGAGGGGACTCATCCCAGCCCTCAGCAATTGTAGCAGCAACCTCGAAAGAAGGCTGGCCAGGGCCAGGAGAGACCTAGGAAACCTCGATAATGGCAGGTATGCTAGAATAAATGAGATTGGCAGTGGTTTTCTGAGACGAATGAGCGACGTTGATAACTTGAGCCTCTCACTCTTTATCAATAACGTAGAACTTCCTCAAAGAAATTATTTTAAAGTCCTTTTTATCTTTAATTATCAAACACCAATGTAAAAAAACTACAAAGAGATGACTTTATCCTCGCATAAAATATCCTTCCTCTCCATACTATTGGCCGAACCCATGATATAATGGGTATTAATGGACCATTTCCTCCGCAGAGAAGGCTTTAACTCATTAGGGTCAAACCCTCCTCAAAGTAGATATTCCAATAAAAAAGTGTCCATATCTTTCTTTAACGTAATCTTGTCAGGAGTGAGGGAATACGGATGAATGACATACGTGTGAGATTCACGTTTGAAATTGACCCAAGTCTAATATATTTTAAACTTGTCCTTTCACAAACAATAATATCCAGTAGAAACACAACAAAAAGTGGAGTGGGCTTCTAGAGTACATGGCTTCACCAACACGAAACACCCCTAGCAATCATCCAAACTCTAGAAAAAAAGGCTAAATTGGGGAACTTCTTAATGTAGCACGATGTTCCATTGATCCCATACATTATACTTAGAGGTTATCACGACGAAAAAAAATGGAAGAATAGATAGCAAGAGGGTTTCCAATATCGATACTCAACCCAAAATTGGATCGCCCTTATATAAGCCTAGACACCAGGATAGAGATGCGAGGGGGAAACCTTCAAAAACCCTCAAAACCTCCACTTCAAACTTGGATAAAGGCTACCACAAGTTTATTAGGGTGAACATACACTAGTGGAAAGGAATGGAACACTCTTCAAAACTGCTACATATTCTCTTGCTTGATTCCATATGGATAACTGACCAGTCATAAGGATAGTGGATTTATTAGTCGCACTCATGATCGCATGATCACTTAGAGCAGAAGGGATCCCAATAACTTGGAGTCCACCCAACTATAATTTCTCGCATCAACTGGTTCTAATAGCGTGATACCCATCAGAGGTATCTTGTCTGCTCGGAAGATCTCGAAGGGCTTGATCCAATTGACACCATCATGCTGAGTAGAGCTGTCAAATAGGCCGGCCCGACCTAGCCCGCTTTGGCTCGATAGGCCAAAATGTTTAAATGGCCTGGCCTGGCCCGATTTCTTAATGGGCTACAGAAAATGAGTCCGATCCTTTTTTTAAAGGCCTGAGCAGCCCGATGAGCCAGCCCGACCCGTATTTCAATAGTATAGTTTTAATTTTATAAAAAGGGATGTAATAGATAAAAGCTACATAACATAAGTATAGAGTCATGATAAACTTAATTAAGTGATATTTAAAATATTTATCAAATCAACATCCATATATATATATATATATATATATATACCACAAAAACATCCATGTAAAAGTACATAGTAACTTAATATTATCACAAATACTTATCAAATTTTCTCTTTATCTCACAATCATATTCTTGATCACATCATCTTGAAAATATATCTTCATCATTTTTAACTTTTCTTTATCCCTTGAAAACACACTTATGCAATCATATCTTAGCTCGATCTTTTACTCCCAAAATTCACCAAAATATTTTTTTTAATGGGCCAGCCCGAAGCCCGTTTGGCCCGACCCATGAAAAACATAGGCCCGATGGGCTAGGCCAAAAAGACAGGGTCGTGTTTTTTAAAGTTATTTTGAGGCTCGGCCCGCGCTAAATTATTGGGCTTATGGGCCAGCCTGATGGGCCAGGACTATTTTGACAACTCTAATGCTGAGTTCCACATGCTAGATGGTCCTTAATCTCGAGATCAATTGGATCTCGACCATAAATAGTGTGGTAAGTCTTGATGAAATTTCGGGACTCTTCCTTGTTCAAAGCAACGACCTCCAACTTTGGGTTAATCAAAGTGAGTGAGGCTAAATTTCCCACAACTATAAATGGATCATGCATAAAACTGAATATGCGATCACCTCCCACATCCTCATAAAAAAGAAGAGTTTCGAAGAAAGACTCGTTAAAGGAAGTTTCTATATCGAGATAACCACTAGAATACCTCTCCAACTCAAAATTATCAGACACAATTATAATAACTGAAACTGAATGATTGTTAATTAGACAGAGATAATCTTAACTAGAAAATGTTTTTTCCCTAACTAGAGGAGAATAATCACTACTCCCAGAGTCGCTAGACAAACTTATGAGGTGGTCATTTATATTATCCATGTAAAAGTAAATACTGGGAAATATGAAAAAAGCTCAGGGTAAGAAGGGTACTTGTAGAGAGTAGAATCTAAATAAGAAGGTAGAGATTAAATATGAAATGAAAAGTTTTGTTTTGGAGAATAAAAACGCTCAAAGAGATGCTTCTGAGAAGGAAGGAAATTACTCTTGCAAAAAGAAACTGACACTCATAAATGGAGAAAGTTCTCCTGAAAATTCAAGAGACCTTAATATATATGATATTGAGTAACGAGTCAAATCAATGCGAAATAAAAAGTTACAAATCAACGATCAAATTTCACCTTAGGAATACAAGCGAAATCAGTGTACTCGAATGCCCTAGAGAAAAACGCCATTACCCTAACCTGTGAACCTAAAGCCACACGCCCAAAAAAATGACGAGATGTTTCAATGATGGGAAATACATTTATTGCGATTATTCATCATTTCTTCTGTAACTGATAAGTGGCTTTCCCACTTTTAACTATGGTCAGACCTGATAACAAGACACCACCCACGACTCTGAAAGACTTACCGGCTAGCAAGAACCCAACAATCCTTGAGGGGAACTGTTCTAGGCCAGCCAAAGGTCCACCGCGGAATCCCAACCATGCATGGTCGAATAGGAATTATCCATCATATATAGTGAATACACCTGAGATTCAAGATTCACTTTCTGATCTCTATCTTTCACTACACTTATCTTGGACTCTTTAACTGACTTTAGCATTAGAGTGATAACCTTGCAGATCCAACCCCACACCACTGTATCAAGATTAGCATAATCACTTTTAGGGTCTTACATCATCAATCAACACTAATTCTAATTCCAGTATGAAACATATATTATTCTTTAAATTTCCACAAGTATCATAATTTGATACTTAGGTCACTATTGTTGGAAAATGTACAATAATTCTATAGCATGCAAAAATATTGTGTTATTCTGTCACCAACATCCATTTGATCATAAATACAAAAGTAAAAATATAATTTCAATACTCATATCGAGTATTATATTGTGTTATAAAAGTACTTATGATAAACGTAATCACTATTCTCTTACCTATGTGGATAATCTATGACCTTTAATTTAAAAACTCATTATTGAATCACTGACTATGACCTTTAATTTTAAAACTCATTATTGAATCACTAACCATAAACTTATACTCATGAGTTAGTCTCGTGATATTTTGGATTAGTGAAAATTTATTATTGGTATTTTGGTATGCTTGAGTCATTCTTTCATAACATATTTCTATTAACTTAAATATGTTGCTTTAAGTTCATCCTTCTATATATAAATTGTAAGCCTTTAATGTGTATGATCTGTTTTTCTTAATCAGATACAATTTCTCTAACGTTGAATCTTACATTTCTTTTGATTGATTAATATTTTTATACAATAATTGGTAATTTAGTAATAAAATTATATTTTTCTTAGTAATGAATTAGTTATGAATTGACATAATTAATTATTAATAAATTATTAATAAACTATATCACTAATTATTGGTGAATGATTTGATTGGGCTATGTTGGCTGAATGGACTGTGATAGGTTAAATTATTTTATTAAATTCAATGAGAGATCTTTGCCCTCTAATCAGACAATTAACATACTCTACAAAACTTATACTAGATAGAACCTTCTTAAAAGGGAAGTTTCATTGGTGTCTGGGGATGTTCTTTGTCCTCTCTGGTCGGTGGCTATTGAGTCATCTTCTCATCTTTTTATGACTTGTGATGTGGTGGTTTCAGTTTGGTATAGGATATTTAGAGGCAGGGGTAGGTAACCGTTTTACATAGAGATCCTGTGACTCTTTTTCACATTTTCTTACCTTTCAATGACTTGTCTAGAATTATGGGGGTTATATATGATTTGACATGATGTGATATGGGCTATTTGGAAATCTCTGAATGAAATAGTGTTCTTAGATAAATGTGTAATTTCAAAGGATATGGAAGACTTGAACATTCTCTTGGCATGAAAGGATATCTTGATAGGTTAGTGACTAGATCTTGTGTTTTCTCGGTCTGTCTCTAAAATTCTATCATGCGTTTGAGTCGGTAACAACTTAAGTGTCTGCGCCCTGCCTTAACGTATTCTTAGTGTTTTTGTGGAGACCGGCGTTCCTTCTTGCAGGTTTTTGATTGGGGAATTCTGATACTGATCCTTCTTGCTTAATCCGATATAGAGCTTTGTTTTCTTGTTTGAATTGGATAGTTGTGTTTTTATCTATTGGTTGTGATTTTATTTTCGTGGCAGTTTTTCCGATACATTTTATGCTTTTTTCAACCATTGAATTGTAATTTATGAAACTTTCACATAGTTTTTTTTAATATATAATATATATATATATATATATATATATATATATATATATATATATATATATATATATATATATATATATATATATATATATATATATATATATATATATATATATATATATATATATATATATATATATATATATATATATATATATATAATTAAAATTATTAAAATTATTATATAATTTTAATTCATTCACATATATATATATATATATATATAATTTTTTTTAATGGTGGGTTGAACTTATATGGTTTTACTTGTAACAAAATTCATTCAACATACATTAACCAAGTCCAGTAAAGAAGTAATTTTTATGATATATAATAATTAAATTGACTTTTATATATATATATATATATATATATATATATATATATATATATATATATATATATATATATATATATATATATATATATATATATATATATATATATATATATATATATATATATATATATATATATATATATATATATATATATATATATATATATATATATATATATATATATATATATATATATATATATATATATATATATATATATATATATATATATATATATATATATATATATATATATATATAAAATAAATTTTTTATTTATTTTATTTTACTATCATAATTAATTTATATAAAATTTTCAAAAACTTAAAAGGTCCTGTCTACGAGATATTAATATACTCCCTCCATTCTCTTTTATAAGAAAATTTTAATTTTTTAGGTTCATTAAATAATTGATGTATCTAATCAATATATAGTCTAAATACATTATTTTTTTAATGAATCTAAAAAGTTAAAATTTTCTTATAAAAGAGAATGGAGGGAGTATAAGAGTGATTTATAAAAATGCCATGTGATTTTTTTACTATGATAAAATAGAGTTTTTTTTCAATTTATATTTTCGGGAAAATTTCGAGATATTTTCTTTAACAAAAGTATATAATTAAAAATGAAGTAAATTGTTTTAAACATATATACCATAGTGATACTCTTCTAGCATCCTAAAGTTAGCAAAAGAAATGCCCTCCGAACGGCTTCAACAACTGGTTTCCATGCTTCCACTTGCTCTCTCTTCCGGAAATAAGGTGTATTTGGGGATCTTCAAAAACTAATGAAAACAAGAAATTGAGACAATATAATAAAATGTATGAGTGATATGTATATGAAGTGTTTGTTCAATAAATAAAAAGTTAACTATAAATTAAAAAGATATAGTTCAGATTTTATTATTTCAAAAGATATACCACTAAATGAATTGTTTACCTGTGAGATAGATTAAATTTTGCCATGTTCATATCTATCCCTTCCACCACTTTCTTCTTCCCTTGTTTCATAATGGCTTTATAGTTATCTTAACTCTTCCCACTTTATTGTATATATAATTGAATGGTAAGTCTCTTTATTCTTATAGTATCTCAAAAAAGGTTCATAAATAGTCATTTTCAAATAGAGACAAACAAGAAAATTACGATTATGATACTTATTTGTCCTTTTCTTAATAATTTTCAAGTGGATGTATAATATAATATCTTTATATTGGCCACGAAAAATTGGGTATCCTTTAAAGGCAACACTCCTTGTCTCCTTTCCTCTTTTTCTATAACATATTTTGTTTTTAGTACATATAATTTTAATTCACTCACATAATATATTTTGTTTCTAGTACATATAATTTTAATTCATTCACATAATTAAGTTTTATATTTGTTTTATATATGGTAATGCTAATATTTTAGTTATATATATGGTAATGCTAATACACCTAGGTAGGTGTGTATTAACATAATACACTTTTATTGTATTTTAAGTGTAGTCCATTACTTTATGTTTTTCTTATTTTTTTCTCTTCAAATTTCTATCATTTAAGGGGGTTTAAAACTTTCGCTATTTATTTTTTTAATTATTTTTAAACAATTTAAAGAATTATGTTAGCGGGATTTAATTAATAGTTATAATATATTAAATTTTAAAATAGTGCGGGTTAAAAATCCCCTAAATTTATACTATATATATATATATATATATATATATATATATATATGAATTTGTTAACGTAGACTCACTTATTTTTTGTGAAGGTCTATTTTAGTAAGCTTTTACTAAAAAATAGTTAAATAGACTTTAAGGTGCACGTTGCTAAAACACACCTTCATAAAAATAAGTGGGTGTATTATAACAAACTCCTATAGAATTTGCTATAATACACCCACTTATTTTAATAAAGGTGTGTTTTAGTAAGTTTTAACTAAAAAATAGTTAAATACACCATAAGATGCACATTGCTAAAATAAAGCTTCATAAAAATAAGTAGATCTATTGTAGCATACCC